GCCAGGCTCGAGCTCTAGAGTACTAGGCTCGAGCTTTGAGGTTCAGGCTCGAGCATTTGGGTTCAGGCTCGAGCATCACCTGCCAGCAAATTGTTCTGACTTTGTAACGCGCTTTTGACCCATTTAGAGTACAAATCTCGAGATGGCTATTAGAGACAAAAACGTTGTGCTTCGAGTCTTCTTTCCAGAACCGCTGAGTTTTCTTAATTTAAAGTTCTAAGTCAAAAGTTATGTCCAAAATACTGAAGCGGATTCAGAATTTTCATCCTTGCTTGAGCCCGAAGTGTTGGTGCTTGAGTTTTCCGATTCGTGCTCAAGCCTTAAAGCTCAGGCTCGAGCTCTGGGAGCAAAAATTATTCGGAACGTCTTTTTATTGATGGTGTTTGATCCTCTCTTCATGGTGCTCGATCCCAAGGTGTTGGGCTCGAGCTTTGGGGTTGTAGGCTCGAGCTTTAGGTGTTAATGCTCGATCCCTGAGGTCTGGCACGAGGTCTGGGAGCTTGGAAATCAATTCTTTCAAATTCTGACGCCTTGTGCTCGAGCTTAAGGGTCAAGGCTCAAGTACCCTTTGGTCAGGCTCGAGCACCCTTGGTTAGGCTCAAGCACCCTTGGTTAGGCTTGAGCCTGAAGGTGCAAGGCTCGAGCTTCAATGCCTTGGGCTCGAGCTTTGGATTCTGACTTCTTCCAAACTTCACCATTTAAGCTCTCAGCTTGCTTTGAATGACTGACAACGACGCGGTAAACTTCATTATCATTCTTTTCATCATAAAAGCCCGGTTTTAATTGCTTCTTTAGGAAAACACCTAAAAACATGAAATAAACATAAATCAGTATAAAATAGGATAGATATATCACTTTAGATCATAACATATGCGTATTTAAAGGCTCAAATATGTAATATTCAGCGCTCATCACACCCCCAAACTTACATATTGCTAGTCCCTTAGCAATATAGAACTAAAAAGTTGCTTTCGTGGGAATCACGGTTGCATTTAGCTTATGCAACAAGCCTTTAAACCTCTAGGTTACCCCTAGTGGACGAGTTGTAGTCTCGTGAGGGTTTCCAGTAAAGATACCCATAAATTTCTCAAATCAGTGCCTTAATTGCACGGTAAGATCATTCAAACTTGTTTTTATATCACGATGTCCCAGCAATGCATCAATCAGTCAATTACAACAAGTATAACAAGTTATATTAATTAGGAAAAATTTCAAACCTTCAATCTCAGTTTAGTAACTATGGTCCCCATATGCCAGTTTAACCATTTATTCAATAATCTCAATCTCCAAAACCCTTTAAAAGTGAACTCACAATCTCAAACATGTGGCTTACTATCCATACTTGTATTCATTCCATGTTATCCTTCAATTTACAGGCAAACTTTTCAAATTCCAATTCCCAAGGTATTTATTTATTTTTTAATTTTCTTCAGCTATGCATTTTTCAAAAAGGATACTGTGTAATGCTCAGATCTATTAAGCTTTCTAAATCACCCATGTAACGAACTTTCGGCCAATGACTCCCAAACCAAACGGTTTTAGGACATTAAGTGATAAAGCACCCCTCCGGACCTAATTGTTCAAGTAATCTAGGCAACCTAAACTCCTTATGTAACAAGCTTTCAGCCAATGACTCCCAAACCAGATGGTCTTAGGGCATTAGGTGTCAGAATACACCCCTAAGGACTTAATTGCTCAAACAATCTAGGTACAGACCTAAACTTAACAATTTTCTACTTCTTTTCTTTTTCTTCTCTTTTTTTTTTTTTCATTCACATTGGTGAAGAATTTTTTTCATTTGTTGCATACATACCAATTCTTTATTTCTTTCTATTTCTTTTTTATACCTTGGTTATCAAAATCATCAAATTCACCTGCTCATCTCAGTTTAACATAAAACAAAACAAGACTTATAGTTTATACCCCACAAAATTCATGCAAGTGTGAATATGTGCAAAGTGAAGTATTTCAGAGATCTCAATCATCAAAATATAATCATCCTAACAAAGTGAACCACAGGCCACCAACTAATTTCAAAAATTCTCAAAAATTCATTTTCAACATAAATTTGGTATACAAACCATCTTTAACCAATATCAAACTGAATAGAGACATCACAACAATTATCAGACTCAAAATCATGCCTAAACAGTTAAATTGCATCTTCTTGTGCACAATATATCAACAAGAAATTTTTAAAAAGGCACTATTTTACCCCCGAACTTAAGATGCATATTGTCCTCAACGTGTGAAAACAGATGTAAAGATAGAAAGATATTACCAAATACGCAGAACCAACAAGGATCAAGAATGGATAGCTCAGAGGAATGAAATCGTCACCTCACCCCCAAACTTAGTCCTTCGTACCTATTAAATAATCACATTTCACAGCCCACATCAGAGTAGTAAGCATATGGAGTAAAACAGATATATATCATTATGCACAAGACAAACTTTTTATTTATTTATTTATTTTTAACTAAAAACAAACCTAAACTAACCTAATCGAAAAATAAAAGAGAAATAAACAAAAAAAATTAAAAACCTAGAAAAACTGAAAAGAATAAAAATAAACTATGGTACAAACATACAAATGCTAAGTTTAAAGTCGATAGCTCGACAACATGCTAAGTTTAATGTTACTAGCTCGACTATACACCACTCCTTAGCCTGTATCCAACAACTCAATTATCTCCCTCATCCCAAAATCAGTCTTATGGGTGATTATAAAATTCGAAACAGGAGGAACCACTGTGGTTCCATCAAGACCCATGAAAGAATACTCAAGCTTATCCGGTGGTGGCTTAGGCTCAAGTTTGTAAGAGGACTCACAAGAAGGACAAGGAGGACTCAAAATCAAAGGAGGAGGATCTTTTGTTGGAAAGATGGTGACTGAATCCTCATCAATAACATCAATAAAGAAGCACTCATCTTTCTCTGAGTAATATGGAGTGGCATTGAAGATATTTAATTTGAGCTTCATGTTCCCAAAAGAAATATCCATAGCCCTAATCCTACAGTTAATGTTGGCATTTGTTGTAGCTAAGAATGGATAACCAAGGATTACAGGAATATATCTATTGGGATCGTGAACAAGTTCTATATCCACGACAAGAAAGTCAACCGAAAAATAAAACTTATCCACTTTAATGAGAATATCTTCAATGATCCCACGTGGTTGCTTGATAGATCGATCAGCAAGTTACAACACTACTGATGTGGGTTTAAGCTCTCCCAAGCCTAATTGCTCATACACCGAGTAAGGAAGAAGATTAACACTCGTTCCAAGATCAAAAAGTGCTCTGTCTATCATATTGTTTCCAATGATGCAAGGTATGGTAGGAGCACCAGGATCTTTGAACTTAGGAGGAGTGCTATGCTGAACGAGTGCACTAATTTGCTCAGTGAGATAGATTTTCTTAGAGACTTGGCTTTTCGATTTTCTCTTTTGGGTGCACAAGTCTTTTAAAAATTTAGCATAGGCAGGGATTTGATTGATAGCATCAAGGAAAGGAATATTGACTTTTACCTGTTTGAAGACATCCATCATGTCTTGGATTTTCTCTTATTGCTTACCAAAGTAAGAGGGTCCCTTGAGATGTTTAGGAAAAGGCGCTCTTGGCTTATAAGCTATCTCAAGGTTGGGAGTAGATGAAGAAATGACTCCACCTTCATCTCCTGTGGAGCTTGATGGAATAGGATGTGAGGGAACATCTATGGGATGTGGATTTGGAAGAATGGGATTGATAGGAATTATACGCTTCTCTTTTTCTACCTTTTTTTCCTCAATTTGATTATTAATGATCTTTCCACTCCTCAAAGTAGTGATGGCATTAACGTGCTCATGACGTGAACTTAAAGGAGTAGTCTCATCAATCATGTAAGGTTGCTTGACTGTATTTGCAATTGGCTGACTTGGCATTGTGCCTTCCTCCCTTTGAGTCAACACTTTAACTATTTGCCTAACTTAAACTTCTATTTTGGCTATAGATTGGGAATAGGAATGTACCAATTGAGTGGTGGACTTAAAATCATTAATTGCAGCCAAAACCTTTTCTTCAAATTCAGACGAGCACCTAGGAGGAGGAGGATCATGATTAGCTTGGTTCCTAAATTGAGGAGGAGAGTAGATGGAAAATTGATTGAAAGAATTATTTTGTAGAGGAATGGATGAATTATGGTACTGTCCCTCAGATTGGGGAACAGTATGGCCTTGGCTTTGATTCTGCTATGATATATTGGAATGATCTCTCCAGCCAGGGTTATAAGCATTGAAATTTGGATTATAACTCGAACTGGGGAATGCAACATTGGTTTATGCTTGTGGATTTTCAAAAGAGTGACCTAAGAGAGGACAACTGTTAGCATAATGAGATAGACTAGCGCAAACAGAACACACTTCTTTTGGGAAAGAGGAATGCTAAGAAGAACTAATAGTACTTACAACTGACAAAACTTGGTCAAACTTTCGATTCAACACTTCCATTTGAGTGGCAAGCTCTCTAGATTTTTTTACTTCATACAAACTTTCAACTTGATAGATACCAGGAATGGACCTAGACCTAGAGGAAGAAGCATGTTGAATAGAATTTTCACTTAGGGCCTCAAACAATTCCTAAGCATCACACTACAACAGTTTTGGTTTTTACCAGCGCTCAAAAGCACTGGTAAAAGCCTTCAAAAGCGCTAGTAAATCCAGTGTTGGTAGGCCTTTACCAGCGCTTTTGAAGATTTGGAGAAGCGCTAGTAAATGGTTATTTGAAATTTTTTTATTTTTATATTTTTTTTCCCTTATGCCAGCTCTTTTTGAAAAAGCACTGGTAAAGGGTTATTTGAATTTTTTTTTTTTTAAATATTTTTTTTCCCCTTCACGACTACTAAATGCATCCTAACACAAGTCAATATAAAAATACCATCCAAATTGTTTTTACAAACAACCACAAGTTAACCCTGCCAATATGAAAAATACCATCAAAATTGACTACTAATACCACCAAAAGTTAAGCTAGTAAAAAATATATACTAATACAACCACAAGTTAAGGTGCCAATATGAAAATATCATTCAAATTATCTAGATAAAGGTACTAAATGTCACACAAAAAGAATTAAGAATTTTTAACAAATGTAGTACAAGTTTTTCAAAAAGAACCCATCCAAGGCAAAGGAAATTCAAAAAGCACAACCACGACCCCATCTTCAACTTTAACTTCAACTTCAACAAGTCTTCTTGCCCATTTGATTTGAATTACCCTACATTTTTTATAAATTCATTAAGCGCACATTATAATAAATGAAAATTTAACATATATATAAAAGAAATTAAAAATTCATAACCTTAACTGAATTGGCATCACGACTAGAAAATGGATTTGGAGATACTCTAGGAGGAGCATTTAAAGAATCAGAATCCTTCAAAATAACAACACAAAATATATGAAATCTTGGCATAAGTAAACATATATTTAGTAAAGAGTAAAACTAATAATAAATATACCTGTCCATTACAATTTTGTTGTTACATCTGTATTAGCATAGCCACCTGTTGTTGCAAATTTTCCAACTTGTTGTCGTAGTTGGCTCGTAAATTTTCCAACTTGTTGTCATAGTCAGCTTACATTTTTGAAATCGTCTCCTGCAACTCTACACGTGTAGCACGTGCCTCCTCCTGAGATTTTTTAGCATTATTAATCAGTTCAACTTTACTAGGAGAGGGTCTCCAAACATCGCTTGGTGTAGGCCCGAAGCCAAGCATCCGCACACGACCAGTTCTCTCTTCTCCCCTCACAATGGAGAACAAATCATTGGAGCTGCCAATAGACAAGTCAGAGTAACTTTTTTGAAGTTCTCTTATGTTTTCCTGCCAAAAAAAAAAAAAAGTTTGAACTACCATGACATCCAGAACTGAAAACCCTAGATTCTAAATAAACCACAAAAGAACTGAAATCCCAACAAGCTATGAACATGTAATACTTAAATATACATGTGCATGTATAATATATATATATATATATACCTAAGCTTTCATGACAAAAACAAAAGGATTTAAATGAAGTAAATAGAGCAAAAAAAAAAATCAAATTTTTATCAAATTAGTAGTTCTTTTAATCGAGTCGTTATAGAAGAGGAAAAATCAAATTAGTAGTCTTATCATCTGATGCATGCCAGACAATTCACATGTCAATGATCTCCCCTGTAATTACAATCTGCAAACCCAACATCACCACCAAATTCATGTCGATCATTAGAAATGTACTCGTCCTCCTTCTCGTACGTGTTATGTGGTGATAGAGCTATTGAAAGGCTACAAATGAGCAGGGAGATGTTCGAGCCTAGGCATGGCCAAAAAGTTGTGTTTCTATGTTTGTTTGCCGTGTGTTTGTTTGCTTTACCATTAATTCCAAAAAAGAGACAACAGTCAATGCAGTTTAACAAAACGTTTTTTTATCAAATTCACTATTAAGCTAGCTCAGAATTAATCACTTTAAACCTATACTTTCACACATTTTCTTTTAAAACATTCCCTTAGCAGAGTGATCATGTCATTAATCTATATATATACACACACACAGAACAAATATATATACAATATGCACATGCATTTTCTGTTGGACTGTAACGCAGACCACAAATATTGTGATGAGGAATGATTTAGAATGTGTTAGCTTCATAAATATTCGCGTGAAAGGGATGATACAGGGCGGTATCCATTGGTAGGTCGGCAGCATGAACTTCTTTAATCTTTATATCATCTAAAGATTTTGAGTGCTGCGCTATGGTTCACAAGATTCGCTTTCTAAAAATCTTTCTGGAAATATCTTTTTCTTTGCCCTACCTGTAATCAAGAGGGACCACAAGAAGCAAACCTACTGAACCATTAGACATCTCCCCCCCCCCCCCCCCCCCCCCCCCCCACGCTCAAAGTTGAATCACTTATTTAGCTTTTGAAAGAATCTGACACGATCAATCTTATCAGCTTTAAGGTAGCACCAAGAGCTAGATAGCAAACAGTCCATGGTCTCCATGTTTGAATGATTTGAGCTTTTTCTACAACAAGACATCTCACTAACAGTCAAGTTACAGCATTCCTAACAAAGCTAGATCTAGTCTTCTATGGCGCAATGTTTTTGACCTCAAATGAATTCACTTGGAACATTCTATTTGTTAACATTTGATTTGCCCTTCAAAGTAACAACTGGTCATTATGCTTGCTTCATCTATAGGGGACCTAGCTTAATTACTAATTAATACCCTCTTTCTTGTGTCTCAGCTAATTAACATTGATCCTGAATAATGTTATCAAGTCATATCAAACTCAAGAAAAAAAAATTAAAAAAAAAAATCTGAAAAAGAAAACACAGAATTCAATCTCTAAAAATTCCAAAATTGACTGGCTGGAACTGATCAAAGTGGATGGGAAGGCTAGGGATTGAAACAGAATGAAGTTGATGAGATGAGGCCAAATATATATGTTTGATCTTTTTTTCATTATTATTTTTGTTGGGTACCTTAGCAAAACAAGTAGGGGTTTTTGATCATATTCTAGTTTTTGTACAGAGCACTGATATGAAATTTGTAGCTTAGCATTTATATACACTCTACTCTGTATTTGTTAGGTCCTCCTTGAATTCAACTAGATGTCAATGTAAATGTACCATAATAAGTATGAAATCCACACTTAAAAATTTGAATTAAGGATTATATTAGTTCAATATTTGAACATAATCTTTTTCTGATTCCAGTTCTAATACATGAATTCCATACTATATATCCTTAGTTGTGTATCAGAGTTGATATATATATATATATAAAATAAAATAAAATAAAAAAAGAAAAAATAAAAAAAAAATGGGGGATGATCCGGCTATAGTGGGTGGGCTCCAAATAATTTCAGAACAGAAGTTTCAAAGACAAGGAAGTGGCAAGCCCTTTTCTTTATTAAACCAAGACCACCAGAGAAGAATGAGCCACGTATAATGCTTTATACTCTCTATATGGATCCATAAGCTACTTTTCTATTTGTTGGTGGAATACATTAGTCAATGTCAAATGTTATATAAGCTACCATATTTATATGTAATCCTGTGAGTCTGTGGCACTTGACATTAATTGATAAAATGTTGATGTGATTCACACTAGTCTTGCATGTGATTAAAAGTTCAAAGGCGAAAACCAGTGCAGTCTGGAAGATGACGGGGGCTTAAATCACTTTATTCCATGGGCATAACCTCTGTTGGACTGCACATTACTTTACAAAGAAGCATATGATTAAATAAGATTCATTAAACCCCATGAAGTACATGATCCTCTTCATCTATCTGCTCATTAACCAAAACTACATAATTTCCTATAATACGTTATTATGCTAACCGCCATTCTGATTGCTATCAAAGTGTTTGTGATAAAGACTGAGTTTTCATTGTGTTATGTCAAATTGGAAGCAAACTCAGACCCATCAGATGACGAGACCCATCAAATTCCTGGATGATGTATAAAATCAGTCTAATATTTTAAGGGAGAAATGAGAATGGAGTACTCTGGATCCCCACCTAAAGGGATCTTTCCTTCGTTTTGTATCCTTCAACAATTTGATGATAAAATGTAACATCATAAAATAATGATTTAATATAATTATTGTATAAACAATATAATATTATTGCATAAAAGAAGTTATATAAAAGTTGTAAATGTTCCTAATGCGGCACAGGAGAGATCCCAAATCATGGACCCATTCTGGTAACTTTACAGGGATGTATAAAAATTAAGTTTAGTCAACAAGTCATCTTTGACACTTTCACTGTGTTACGTCTGGGTTATCCTAAGTTAATCTTTTCAGAACTATTAAAAATAATAAAAAAAAAGAATCTGAATTGGATTAGAAATCTGCAGAGATTGAATTTGAAACAATTTTTACCAACATGCCAAGTTTTTTGAAGATGAAAATCTTTTCAGAACTGAAAAAAAAAAAAAAAAAAAGAATCCGAATTGGATTAGAAATCTGCAGAGATTGAATCTGAAACAATTTTTATCAACATGCCAAGCTTTTTGAAGATGGAAATCTTTTCAGAACTGAAAAAAAAAAAAAAAGAATCTGAATTGGATTAGAAATCTGCAGAGATTGAATCTGAAACAATTTTTACCAACATGCCAAGTTTTTTGAAGATGGAAATCTTTTCAGAACTGAAAAAAAAAAAAAAAAGAATCTGAATTGGATTAGAAATCTGCAGAGATTGAATCTGAAACAATTTTTATCAACATGCCAAGCTTTTTGAAGATGGAAATATTGTGATAAACTATCAACTCAGATTTCCATCTTCAAAAAACTTGTTTGTTGAGGGATTTACTTAATATCCTTAAAGAGTGGGGCCAAGAGAAGTATTTCGGTAGGGAGGTATTTAGTTTTATTGAAGATAATATTGCAAAGAAAATAAGGGGATGGAAAGGAAATTTTTTTGTCGCCTAGCAGTAGAAAGGTGTTAAAAGCTATGCTTACCCTCTTATGCAATATCTTACTTCGAGCTCCCGAATTTTTTTTATGACAGGTTGAAGAAACAATGGTTTCAGTTTTGGTGGGCTGTTTGGGAGGAAAAGTTTAAAACTCGTTAAATAAGTTTCAAGCTATAAATTTTTTCTATGACAGTCTAATTTGTCGAGTGGAAGTTGTTTCCAATTAATCTGATTTTCTTCCACGACCTTGTTATAGGGCAAAGTGGTCAAATTGATTTCTAATTACATAGAGTAATATTAAAAAAGAATAACAAAACTTTGCCTCCCAGAGTTATAACTTATATTTCTAAATTTGTGCAACTTTGTTTTTTTCTGTAACTTGATACGAGAAAATTTAGGATGCTCAAACAAATATTAATGTTTTTATCTTAGAAAAGCTAAATTGAAATGAAATCTATGCAAATCAATAGAGATATGTTCTTCGAAGAGATAACAATATTACTAAATACCAATTCATCTAGCATGATTACGTTCAAGATTTATAAAGTTCTCAAATGGGTGTAATAGCATCGTTACATTGAATTATTGAAACCATTTATACACATATATATCTATATACTCTATAATATAGATATATAGACATAAATTTGTGGTTGAAAACTACTATAAATTGTTGCGTCTCATCAACTGGGAATTGCAAATCAAGAGATCCAAGTGTTGAAAGCTTGTAGAATTGATAGTTTATCACAATAATTACAATGATCATCATGAACAAGTGTTTAGTGGCCCTTTACATAGCTTGTATATAATATTTGAAGTTGTTTACATTCAAAAAACTATTGCCACAATATATGAGTAACAAATTAATACAAACAACAAATAGCAAATACTTCTTCTCCACAACACAAATCAATCAACAAGAAGCCTCCACATACAATGATCCCATACTCCCATGCTTTTCAACAAATACAAGAAAGTAAATTGCCTCCACACGGGCCGATGATTTAAAAATTGGTCACTTCAAGGCACGTGACCCCCTAATACAACGTAAAGAGTTTAAAAATTGGTCACTTTAAGGCACATGACCCCCTTTTTGCAAAATGGAAGCGTGAAAACTTACAATCATCTCCGAAGTAGCAGCATCAGTAGCTTTGCCATCCTTATTTACATATGTGCGGATGAATAAATCTACACGAGAAAGCTGAATACCTTCGTCATCCTCAATCTATAAAAGAATACATTGTGATATATATTATTTACCACTAACATTTATAATCATTCAAAGACATAAGAATTGAAATAATTTATATTTTCCATAAAAACTTCAACTAACCTCGGCAAAAACACGTGCAAAGCTTTTTGTCCCTGTAGTATGCATCATTGTCTGCTTCCCACGACGTTCTTTATTTTTTTTGCTGACCTCCTACAAAAAGCGAGAAAAAGTAAAAGTTCTTTGAGTAAAGAACATTCCACCTAAAATAATGACTGAAAGCAGGTAAACTATAAATTCAACTCATTGACTTCAAAAAACATTGTGATAAATGGAGGATTACCTTCGCCATAGGCGTACCCCAATGCCTAACCAAAAATTCCCAATGCTCCTTTTCAACATTAGGTGGTGGGTTTGCCAATCTTTCTTCATCTGTATCCCTAACTAAGTAGTATTCATTTTTCAACTCACTTGTACCCCCTCTATTTTTTCCAGATGGAGGATATTGTCCACTGTTTTGTCATGATTCCCACATCATATTTTCCTTGAAAATGTGATAATTGTTGTATGTTAGTCCACTTTTTTCATAAAAATTATTTTAATGTTATTGAAGGGTTTTACCTTTACAATGTTCCACATATCCTCCTTTAGCTGTTTAGGTATCTCCTACCAAGTTTTGTAGCACAAAGGAGCTAATTCACCCTTCCGGGCAAGTGTTCCCAGATAATTAGTATATGTCCCACTCCCCGGACCGATCGGCTGTCCAAACTTATTAACCCTAAACAAAAATTAACAATTGTAGATGTTTAGTACAAAAATAAAGATAGAAATCATTTTTTCTCCTTCATATTGAATATAGTCTAATTATGTAAACTATATAAGATGATCTATATATATATATGTACCTTAAAGGTAATAAGGTTTTCGCGTCTATGACATTCTTGCATCGTGTCGGACCCCGTCTCTTCTTCGGCGGTGGTTGGGATGATTTTGAAGTTGAAGCTTCGGTATTTTGTTCACTCACTTTTTCCACTTCACTAACCGTTCGTTTCATTGTTAACTTATTATTTATCCTTCCTAGAAAAGCAAACAAAAAAGTGAGAATTCAGTTAAGAGAATGCAATCAAATTATTAAAAAAAGACAATAAAATTGTAATTCAACACAACATCTAAACATCAGCACGGGCAATTTAATAACTATGACACAGTGGTAATTATTGACTCTTGTTCCAGGTCAAAGTATTAAGTTGGATCTAATGCAACCGATTACAAGCCAATCTGTAATGCCATCGAGAATCGATGAATAAAATAGCTAATGGATGATAGATATATAGTTGAGCAAGATCAACAAAGTCAGCTTATTATTTATCCTTCCTGGAAAAGCAAACAAAAAAGTGAGAATTCAGTTAAGAGAATACAATCAAATTGTTAAAAAAAGGCGGTCCAGGAAAAACCAATAAAAAGAAATAACAAATACCTCAAAACTTTAGGGTATTTATGGTTGTTCAATGGAAATTATATAAAACCATTCTAATTAAAATTAGACCGTTATGTTGTTTTGAATTATTTTTCTAAACCCAATTGTTAAGTCAAACATCAATGCTAATATAAATATGAATATAGATATAAAAAGCAATCCTAACCAAAGCAACCAAACATCAAAATAGTCTTGCAGAGAGAAACTAAAACAATCCTAACCAAAATTTGTATTATAAAAAATCTTATGTACAGTAAAAGATCAACTATATATATATATATATATATATATATATATATATACTAAGCACGAAAAATTCGTTTGGAAATAAAAGAAAAAAAAAATTCAAACCAAAAATTCATTTCATAAAAGAAAAAAAAAAACATTAAAAGAAAAGTAATGCCGAAAGAGAGACAAAGTAAAACAAAGTTGAAGCCCTAGGGCTTCAACTTTGTAATCTCAGATGAGATAATGCCGAAAGAGAGACGGGTTAGCAAACATCAATCAAGTAATTCCATCAAGTACAATGGAGGACAAAAATACGTTAAAAAAAAAAAAAAGTAAACATTTTTGCAAAAAGAAATCAATTTTCTGGACCATTATTCTAGAAATTTCTACAATAGACCTTGATTAATTTGGTATATAGAGGTGGATAATTGCATTACAAGAATTTGATACACTCAGTCTATTTTAACCCCTAAAAAAGAAAAGGTCTCTGAATATTATCTTGGAGCTCAAATAGAATTCTATATTAAATAAAAGATACATTTAACATTTGCTAAATTTTGCTTTTGAAGTTATATATTTAGTGAATACAGAGAAGACATTTACTCAACTTAACAAACATTTCTCAACTAAGTCAATTAAGTAAATCCTATTTTCCAATCCTGTTTCATACAAGTTTAGAATTCATTTGCATCTTGTTAGTTCTCTCGTTAAGTGGAAAAAATCAATATCAACAAGTATCACCATGGTCTAAATTAATGCAGGTCTAACACTGATCTAGAGCTTTGATTACCAACTTGGGTTTTCATAAGCATCTCCATTATATCTTTACCGGTAGTAGACCATTTTTTTAATTATTATTATTATTTTATTTTTTAATTCTGGCAAGAACATGGACACCAGCAAAAACAGAAACATAAAGCCAAAAACATGGACACCAGCAACAATGTCCCAACCATCCATCAAACATCTCCAGGAGCTTTATATATCATTATCGATGCAATTCATAGAGTTGCACGCCCCAATGAAAATTGGATTCACAGATTCACAGCCCCAATGAAAATTGGAAATACAGACCATATATGCATATCAAAACAGGGTTTTCAAAATCTCAACATACAAAACAAACATATATTGGCATTACAGTTATCACAGTCACAGCCCCAAAATAAATTTGAATTCGAAATACATGCAAGCATAGTCACAATTTTTCCAAAAGAATTGAACACAAAGCCATATATAGACCTACGTCACAATGAAATCCCAAATTTCCTCATGAAAATCCAAAATCCCCAAATCAATATGTATCAAAACCTCCTTAAATTTTTTATTTTCAAACATGAACTCATATATTTATATATATAGATATATAGGATGAGAAGAGGGAGACGACTTACCCGAGGGAGAAGAGAGGAAAAAGAGGAGAATCCGAGAGAGAGAGACCGAACTTCGGCCAGAGAATCGGCCGGAGAAGAAAACCAGAAGAGGAGAATCAGCGGTGAGACACGGTCTTTCTCCTTGGTCAAGAATCGTCTGATTGTGTGCGCTAGGGTTTATGTTTGATCGTCTGATTGTGTGTGTGAGGGTTTATGCTAATCGTCTGATTGTGTGTGTGTCAAAGGGCTTTATATGGGGGCAAACATCAATCAAGGTCTTGCTAAATGGATCGAGAAAGAGCAGTGTCTTGCAGCTGAGAGATCGAGATAGCGATAGAGCAGAGAGGGCAGCGGATGAAGTAGCCAAAATGAAATTGAATGAAAAGGGAAGTGGAATAATCTGTAATAGTGGACCCAAAAAATGACATAGTTCAGGCACGAAATATATATAAATATGGGGAGGGAAAAAGTGGAGGGAAGGGGGAAGAGAAAAAATTGGAGGAAAGGGCAATACCAGCGCTTCTGGTACTATTATCCCAATACCAGCGCTTCTATTTTAAGCGCTGGTACTATTACTATTACTCTAATACAAGGGCATAAAAGAAAAGCGCTGGTATGTTACCCTAATACCAGTGTCGAAAAGCGCTGGTACGTGACGATCCTGATTTTTAGGTCAGCGTATCCTGTGATGAACTGAAGATTGATCCGATAACGGATCCAAATGCGGAAGCGAAAACAGAAAACAAGACTCTAAGAAGTCAAAGTGACCTTCCATGAGATCGTGGAATTCAACAAGAACTGATGTGGAAGCAAAAGATCGAAAATATGACAAATAAGCCCCCAGGGGCAAAATAGTCATTTCTGAAAACTGTAGATTCGGGTGCCACCGAGCACACCGCTGGAAGGATAACGAAAAACTAATCAAGATGGACTCAAGAATCGCATGATTCGGAGTCCAAACGAAGGAGAAACGGCATGACGAAGAAAAACGAGCACTTAAAGCAAAAAGGGTAAACTGGTAATTATCCAGGAAGAATCGGGTGCAACCGAGTACACCGTTGAAAAGACAGTGAAAAATTAGTCAAGTTCAAAAAAAAAAATTCACTTGAATCGGAGTCCGGACGAAGGAGAAAAGCCCAAAAGAAGAATTGACGTTGCGGCGGCCCGACGAGGGGCCATGGCGCACACGGCGCCCATGCGCGAGCCCACCGACGTGCATGCCGGCGCCCAAAGACACGGCTGGTGGCAGCCCTTGGCTGCGGCTACATTTTTTTTGATCTGCCCAGAACTGAGGCTTGAAACGGAGGTCAAGACGAGTTTTTCTGGAAAAACACGAAGAAGAAGCCCCCCCTAAAATCGAGTTTTCTACCCAACATCGCAAACAGAATCAAAAAAACCTCACTGTGAAATCCCCAAAATGCCCCTAGATCAGAACTGAACAAGAGGGTCATAAAGCTGCTAAATGAAAACTGGAAGCTGAAACTTCACGAGGGATTTCCGGTACCAAGACGACCTTTTCTGGAAAAACACAAAAAAGAAACCCCCCCTAAAATCACATTTTCTAAGCGATCATGTCGAAAGAAGAAAATAAAACTGAGGTGAAAGGTCCATAATGCCCCTAGATCAGAAGATGCAAAAAAAAAATGCGAAATGAATTCACAAGAGGCTCAAAACACAAACGATGAGGTTTTGCCCGGAAACGACTATGCATGCAAACGTAACTTACCTATTTAGACGCGCTACAATGGTCCATGGCTTAAAAATATAACCGATGCAAAATCCGACCCCCCACGAGCAAAAAGGCAAAAATGGACTTGGAATAGAAAACATGGAATCCAAAAATGCAAAACGGGATCAAATGATCGTTTGGCCCTTGGCCACACTTCATACAAGATTAATAAGACCCTATAAAAGAATGAAAATGGAATTCCCACACCCGATGCAACCGTGGTGAAGGAATGACTTGCGATTTTTCAAGTTTTTCATAACATTTCATGAAGTTAAAAAGTTGCATAAAATACAATATACATGTCATTGGCCTCCGCCCTCATCTCATACATATCAAATACATTGAAAGGAGTGTACTTAAGTACACATTACACACATGGAATCAAATATACATATTTTGACATATAAGTCTACAAAATGACATTTCATGCTAACATTTGCATGAAATGGAAACTTGAAAGCTACACGACATTCAAGGAATGCTAGGCTTCACGAACCAAGTCTTTGTACCTGAAATATGCTCCAGTATCATAGGGTGAGTAACATAAAGCTACTCGTAGGAGATGAGCATGCATCGACCTAGCATTTTACAAATTTATCACCTTAAGGTGAAACATGTTAAAGGGGCTCATGCCACCTAACGTCTATGTCCAAGTGAGACTCGGAGAGCATTCTAAGCTACCTTAGAGTCTAAGCAACAAGAATCATGATATACATACGTGTATGAAACGAATCATGGTTGGGATAATCCAAAAAACACGACAAGAACAATGCTTGAGCATAGATTAACATGAATTACATTTTCAATACAATTGAACCAGGTCTAGAGTAATCCATACAACATAACAAAAGTATATTTGAATACAAGTTAACAAGAATCACATTATCCATGCAATTCAACAACAAAAGCGCATGTTATACAATGCAACAAGGTTTAAGTTCTCAAAGCCATCAACTTAGAATCTAAAGCACAAAATAACAGTAGTGGTTCATGCCACCTAACGTCTATGTTATAAATGAATCAATAGGATCAATCCTAAGCTTTATTAGAACGTCAAAACACGATTTTCAATATCGATGCAATTTAACCAATATTGGAACTTCCAATACAAAGCATAAAGCACAATTTCGCACAGTTAACATCCTGTAACTTAAAATGGAACGACAAATAAGAAACAACAAGTTACAACATCATCTAGTTATCAACTTGAAAATGAAATGCGAAATCAAACAAAGTGGATACTCGGACGTCACGCCGGATCAGACCGACAACATAGTTACTTTAGGGTTACTAGCCCATGGGTAACCTCCCTATGTGCGCACTAGACCATATAGAGGGACTATCCCCCGTACTAGAACCACGTCCTAGCCATAGTCAAACAACGACATCCCCAAGTTTCCAAAGTTAACAAGTTGTGCAACAACGCATATATCAACAGGAATATGTAAGATAATCAACTATCTACTAAGCACAACCAAATTTGGAAACATATACAATACATGTTCTAAGTCCACAACTAATATGATGTAATGAATGTCGAATCTTCAGTGTGCGATTCGTTACACGCTATACATGAATGATGTTAAATACGAAATGTGCAAATCATTACACAAGGCAACAATATATTCAATAAGAAAAACATATTCTCATGAGTACAAACATAGCAACTATGTTATCCAATGTTCAAAACATAACCAAATGAATATACAACAAGTCTAAGTCCATGATTTGAATATAGAAACCACTTCTAAAACACAACTAGATCATGGAGCAAATTGATAGAATTTAAATAGATAAACACAATTAAATTCTCTAGATTTCCGATTCAATTTCAATTAACCTCAATTTAATACATGTTAAAGGTCATGGCAAGGTCATCACCTATATTCATTCTAAAACTCAATTAGGTTGTTAGAATAACAAAGTAGAACTTTAATTAAGTCATGCTAATTTAAATCCTAAGGTTCTAATACAACTTCTAATAGTCCCAAATTAATATATACTAGTAAACAAATCATGGTCAATACAAATATCAAGTTAAAACCTTAATTAAGCTAATGGGACCACAAAATAGATTTTAATTAATTCTTTTAATTAAAATCTCTAGATTTTTAAACTTATAACCAAATGCTCTCAATTTAACATATCTTAGAGAACATGCCAAGGATTAATGTAATATCACATTACAAGCTTATTTCATGCAATTTACGACCATGAGAATTAAACTTTCACTAAAGTTAAATATAAATTAAAAGTTACAATTCTCATGCAATTAATCCCAATTTAATATATGTGAACAACTATACCTAAGCTTAATTTTCAAGCATGCCACAATACAATCCCAAGTTGTAAATCACCATGAGGATTAAGTCTTAAACATGGAATTTAATTAAATAAAAGGTTTCAAAACCTAACCGAATATTCTAAATCAAATATATGTGAAACTATATGGCATATAAATCAAGAATATCAAGTTGGAATTCAAATAGAGTGAATAGTGCACTCAGGGCAAATTAATTAATCAAATTAATTAATAATTACTAATTTTCAAAACACCTCGAATTACTTTCAAATTCAACTATGTTGGAGAGCATACAAATGCCTAATTTAATATCCTAACACATATTGATTTTAAGCTAGTTAAGGCCATGTGAATTAATCTTTCACCTACGATAAATATTAAATAAAATCTTTAATACTTATTCAAATGTTCCAATTTTAATACACGATAATGAGCATATCAAGGGGCAATATAAAATCATGCTACATGTTTAAACCAAGTCATGAGTAACCGGGAAAATTAGATCCCGTACAAGAAAAATAAATAATAAAATCTCTAGATTTTATATTTAATCATGCAAACAAGTAGTATAAGCATCGCAAGCATGCTATATAACAAGAATTTAAACCTAAAACATCTCTTACCTCAATTTGAGATGAAAATCCCAAAGGCCCACCAAAATAAAAGTGCTCCGAATTCGACGATACCGAGAGGTTTTGTCGGGGACAACACCGTGAACATAACCCCCATCAAAGCCCCATCAAAATCATAACTTGACCTCAAAACCAAACTCAAGAAATGGTCAAAACTGAATTCTAACAAGGGGGAAAGGTAGAGCACGGCGAGGGGAACAACAAACGTTAAAGCCGAAGACTTTCCATCAAAGAAAAGTGAACCAAAAGAGGAGAGAGAAGATGGCAGCACCCCTTGGGCTGCCATGGGAGCTCTAGTTCGTGCATGAAGAGGGGAGAAGATGAAAAATGAAATATCTCACCCCCCTTTTATAGAAATCTCAAAAAGTGCCCCGAATGGGCCCCGCCGAGTCCGAAAAAGTAAAATTTGAGCAGACTCACTCAAATGGCAAAAATTTGTGAACAAAAAAGATTCAAAATGATAAAATATGAACAACGAAAGAAACGACATCAAAAACTGAGTCCCGAACAGAAAGTTATGCCCAAAACAAGTTTGGCGAAAACGAGGGCCAGAAACCCTGAAACTGGAAAACATCGACCAGGAGGAAATTCCAAGAGTACAAAACTCGACGAAATGTGAAAATGAATCCCGTACGAGGATCCAGGCTCAAAACAAGACATTTTGCAATAACTTTCATTAATTGCGCAATGGCCCCTCCAAAAAGTGAAAACTACATTCATGGCCCAGAATGAAAATATCTTCCAACAATATTTTCTTAAAAACCCCTGAAATAAAATATCTTCAAAAGATATTTACGAAAAACACCATAAGAAAAGAAAATAATTTCAAAGAACATTGCATCCATGCCCCTATGGACACCGGGAGCAACCA